TGATGGTTAACGACCATTGCGTAAAATGCGATAAAAACTTATATTTATTTTAATTTAAATTATGAATATCGAAAATTAAAAGAATCCATATCTATTTTGTTAAATAAAGTTATTAATAATACGAATTTTGATAACATTATTATTATAATATATGCATGTATATATATTCGTAAAACTATTATTTAAAATTCGTATTATTTAACAGCGAATATAAAATTATGAATTGAAATTGAATTAATAATTGTAATGGAATAATTGTAAATAACCGAAACAACGCAATTCCACAGCCTAACCACAGCACACAATGTGGAAAATACGTCGTGCACGATACATTAACGCATCATCAATCGCTAAAAGAAATTGTGATAAACTTATAAATTAGAATCATCATGCACATCACCTCTCTCTCACCCAAGTAGCACCTGGGCACTTGAGTGAGTTCCTGGCAATGAACATGGAAAGGATTAAACCTGAAAATCCTGAGCTAAAAAGAATATTAGTGTATTTATTTTATTTATCTAACGGGCTAATATTTATTTTATCTAATACTTTATTCTGTTTCAAGTTTGAAAAAATTTACTTTATGAATTTAATGAGATATTATTTTATTTATTACTATTAAATTTTATATAATAATTTTATTAAATGAAACAAAGAAAAATATATAAACAAGAAATTTATTTACGATAATTAATTTATTTATAATGATTAATATAATAAAAAATAATTTATTTTAAATGGAATATTAATGAAAATATCCTCAGACGATCTTTTCATCAAAGCACATTTTCGAATATATAAAAAATGTTTAAAACTTCTTGCTTCGATTTAAAAATCTATCTGTCGCGAAATGTTTTCTTGCACATAAAATTTCATATATTTTTTACGGAGGAAATAAAATTAATATCTTTATTTTCAAATCATATATTTAACTTTACAATAAAAAATCAAATGAATTCAATTATGATGAAATTAAAAATTGTTTATTTAAAAATTGTTAATATATTAATGATAATATATATTATCATTATTACTGCGTAATAATTAGAATTTTATAACGAAGTTGGAAAGGACATTCAACTTCTTCACTACTAGATACATTTTAAAATTTCATATTTATACATATTTTTTGTTTATTTTTGTTTTAAAAACGCGATGTACAAGAAAACTCTATCCTTATCTGATAAATAAAATACAGAAAGAAGAAATGTCACGAGTATAATAAATATCCGAGGTCACTGTGCTCGTGCAAAATTCTACGTATACAACCAGTTACCCGTGTCGATTCGAACCTTTCGTCCTACGACATGATTGAGTAACCGGAGGAATAAAAATGCATGCGACTCACCATTCGATGCGAAGAATCTGTATTGCTATGGCTCATAGCAAGCCATTATGAATTATCATGAAAGCTGTAACAAAATATGGAATATCATAATTTGAAATACAGTACTGATTTAAAAAAATTAAAATAACGAGAAATGAAACTAAAAATAATTACCTCTTCGTGTGATGGATGATCGCGTTATTTTCTTGATGCACTGATTCTAATTTATACCGAAAACAAATAATTAAAAAAAAAAAAAAAGAAAAAAGGACGCGTTCGATTATTTAAATAATCGGCGAACAAACACTGACTCTAATTCCGCGTATAATTACTTTTACTTGGAATTTTAAATAAAAAATAATAATAGTAAATTATTATATATACTATGTTACGAATTAAACACTGACTCTACCGACTACATTGCGCGTAGCCACAAATATAAAGAAATCTTCAATACCTATAACAAAATATTATATATAATTTTTTTTTAAATTTCATTATAATCTTGAAATAATAAAAAATGAAATTGTATTCAATTTTCAACTTTAATAACAAAAATAATTAAATTTCTAATAAATTTTAATAATTAAGAATTGAAATTCTAATATGAAAGATTGAAAATCTAATAGTTAGTTACCTTTTCGCGTGATGGATGATCGCCTTATTCTCTTGAGAGAAGCACTGATTCTATTCTATACCGAAAACGAATATTTAAAATAAAAAAATAAAAATAAGAAACTATCGCGTCCGTTCAAATTATGTAATCGGCGAGCAAGCACTGATTCTAATTTCGCGTATAATTATTATAATTAAATTTATTTAGAGCTATTATGCTCTAAAAAACATAAAAAATACTATTACGAAACAAACACTGAATCTACCAACCGCATTGCGCACGGTTAAAATAATTTTCTGAAAATAAAATTGTATTAATAGAGGGACAGGGGGATAAAAAGAAGTAAATATGTTTTCATATTTCCCTTCTATTTTCTATTGAGCATTTGTTTAGAAAAATACTGCTATTTTTTAAAAATCATTATTTACCTTTCTTTAACGTACAAAAATATATATTAAATACAAAATGATCAACTCATTTGTAAAGTATAAAATATTTTTCGATATTAATACATATATAATATTTTTATTATGTAATAATTAAGTAAAAAGAAAATAGAGAAGTAATTACATACGTCTGTCTTCAAGACAAAAATTCAAACTTCATTTCTTCATAAAAAGTCAACTGTCTTGGCGTCCATATTGAAAATTCCTTTTCCCGCCTTGAAAGTCATGTATCTCAACAATTGGCTACTAACCTGTACAAAAGAAAATTAAATATTTAATATATATATATATAATGTACGAAATTAACCGATTTTATTAAAACAAAATAAAAATAAAGCTTAAATTCTGTTTTAGAAAGTCATAATATAGTAGTACCGGTTAATTTTAATGATCAGATAAAATATAGTTAAAAAAAATAAATTATTTTCCGAAAAATTATCAATTATGATAATATTTAATAGATTATTATAAAAAAACATATTAATTAAATAATAATATATGAATAATAAAAGAATAATTATGAAAATAAAGTACTACGTATTAGATAAATCACATACCTCGAGAAAGACGACACGTCTAATCTCCACAACTTTCGACACTCGAATGACACCACCCCGCGCCGCGATTTCGTCTATCGAATTTCAAATTGGAGTGGGGGATTCGGTAAGTCGAGCATGGCACGAGCGTGGCACGAACGCGAGCCTAAAATTTCCTGGAAAGACCATTATAAGAAACATTTATAGCCTTGAGCATTAAATACAAAACAAAAGATATATGAATTTATACATAGATAAACAGACTTAGAAATATGCATTGTAAAATAAAATTGACTATAATGGATAAAAGACATATGCGATGATAGCTTTTAACACGAAATAAAATACTAATAATATAATAATATAATTATAGTATATAATATTATGCATTATATATATGTATATTATTGTTATTTTTATATTTCTTTATTATCAATAAAAAGACAATAAAAATCTATACTAAATATATTTATCTTGCTAAAATAAAATAAATATTTATATAAAAATCATCGAATTGAATAATTAATTGTTGTATAATTAATTATTTATTACGTAAATTGTTACTTCTTCGATAATTAACCAATAATTCATATAAAGATTTAAAACAAATATATATATAATAAAATCAATTATGATATATTAAAATGAAATATTAACCGACATCGAATTCTTCAAAAACTTCTAATATAAATTATATATAATTATCAACAATTAAATATATAATAAATAATATAAATAAAAGTAAAAAAAAAAAATATTAAAAAATTTTAATGTCATTTTTATTTTAATGTAATAATGTCATATTTTAATGTCATAATTTTAATGTCATATTTATTTTAATGCTTAATAAATAATTAAATAAATAATTATTAATTAAATAAAATTAATAATAATGTTTAAAAATAATAACGGAATAGCAATAGATTCACAATTGAAGTCACACATCTTATATCGAATTGTATGTTACTGCGATTTTTGGTAGCAGATTACTATTCCATGTGGATCGCCTATAACAGCTTTCTAATTGGCTGTTGTAGCACAATTCTCTTGTCATTTAATAGCGCGCGAAGATTTAAAATAGTATATTATACGTATATTATACGTTTTTTTATCTGATAAATTAATTACAAGAATATTTCAATTAAACATTTAAAAAATATTTTGGATTTTTCTTTAATGTATATAACTAAATAATTTTATAAAAAAAATCAAATATTTCTATTTTAAATAATCAAATATTTAATCTAAAAAATATTTTTGCAATAAACATTGTATATAATAAATTTTAAATACAAATATATAATTTGATTTTAGAATTTATTTTTATTAATTAATTTAAACTAAATTTATTTAAAAATGAATTTAATTACTAACTAAAAAAAATAATTAAAAATTTCTTTTGACATAAAATAATATATATATATATAAATAATATATTATAATAATAAATTATATATTAACAATA